ATAAGTTGACAAACAGGAGGGATGAGAAGAGGACACAGTAGAGTTGAGGAGAGGAATCGGGTGGGGTAATGCGAGAAGACAGGATGAGTAAGGAAAGGAAACAAGATCCCTCATCTGCCGCAGCGGCTGGCTGTCACTGACACAGCTCCGCAGCGGCTATGAGGGGAAATGCGCCGTGGTCGCTGCTGAGCTGTGTATGTGACAGCCATCACCCCTACATGCCATAGCGACCCAGGCGGCCCTGGCCGGGCCCCCCCCTGTGCCCAGGCCCCATAGCGGCCGCCTGGGTCGCTATGGCGATTGTTACGCCACTGATGACAGGTCTCCTTTAAATGCTTCTGAAAACATTACAAAAGCGGGATCTTCTGGTCACCTTCTTCTATCCGCAGCATATCCGCAAGTTAAATCTCTTTAATTGTTTCTCCTTCGATGACTTTCACTTTTCTTTTTCTATGTAAAACGGAGGTTTTAGATATTCTCGGCGCAGTTGGAGAGGCCGTATATCCAGGATGACATTGCCGTCTCCTCACAAGACGATCCTGACAATGAAATTTACGGTTGTATTATAAAACAATCTGAGGATATGGAATACGTGTAGCCAAACCAAGACATCCCTGGCATTTCCAGGCCCGGGACGTGTCCCCGGCGGGCGGAATGACGGGCTGGCTCCTGTTCTTTCAGCTTTCATCGGTTTTAATGTAGAATTTGGAAAATATAATCCCAAAGTCTAAAAATATTATTGCTATTCTTCCTTTTATTATTGTGAAGCAAGTCTGCAGCTAAAGGAAGAGTAAACCCCCCCCGTCAATGTTTTCCTTTGCCATCTGTATCTCCTTGGGGAGATTTCCTTCACTTCCTGTCCTGTCGATGGAACAGGAAGTTCATTTTCCTCACTTACTGAAATAGGAAGTAGACATGTAAAGGCTCAAAAAATTCATTTTGTATCGATTTGTCTTTGGGGGTTTTTTTTGGATTTTATTTAGTTCATTATTTTTGAATTCGGATTGATTAAAAATGTTTGTTTTTGGATCAATTCGAATGTATTTGGATGGAGTTCATTATGTGGTTCAAAGTGAAAATCCCCCCAAAAAACAGCACGGGGTCACCCCAAATTCCTACAAGACCCTTTAGGTCTTGTAAAAAAAAAGACATGAAGGCCTAAAAGGCGTGTGCGGGTGGGGGGTGGTACAGGAAATCAATTGTGTTCCTCCTTCCCCCTCCTGCACCATACCAGGCCACATGCCCTCAATATAGGGAGGGTACTTTGCCAGGGGGGGACCCTGGCACTGTGGTTGTGGGGGGGGTGTAGGCAGGGGGGCTTATCTGAATCTGGGTGCCCCTTATCATAAAGCCTGACAGGGGTTCTAACAAAAAAAAGAAGTGTTGCTTTTACACTAGATATACCAAGATATACTCATAGATGGCAGCGCGCATGCGCAGAACACGCTGGCGGCTGATATTGCCACTGCTCTATCAGTGTGACGTCACACTGAAAATGCAGAACGAGCGGCGGCCGTGTCAGCCGACGGCGCGCTTTGTGCGCCGCCATCTTGGAGTGTATCTTGGTGTATACAAAGATTTAATCAAAGACGGCGGCACGCCTGCGCAGAACGCGCCTGGCTGCCGCACGTTCTGCACACAAATTTATGTATGCCCATATATAGTTTTAGTATATTCGGGCATATAATAAATTCGTTATTTCAGATTCGGACGAACCGCCAAATCAACTGAATTACGTTGATTTGCATGTTTGTCCGAATCCGAATGCACATGTCTAATATTTATAGTGTTCATAGAACCGGACTGCATTGCTGTAATAAATACGGAAGCTTCAACCGGGCTTTAGTTGCCTGGGCCAGGAGCGGGCAAGCCCTATGACAATCAATATACATGGGCCGGGTGACTGCGTACTAGCCGAGGTGATCGGGAAAACATTATTCCAAACATGTCTGTGTCTGGATTATGGTTGATGGCGAGAACAGAGCATATAATCTGCGGCGGCTCTGAGGGGATGTTTTTTTCATCAGCAGTATATTAGTTTCTCCCTTCCAGTAAAGGGATTTGTGATTTCAGGCAAGAGTTGTCACTTCCGACACTGCCGCGCGTCTCATTATGCAAGCGTAGCGCTCCCTCTGTGCATCGAGGCGGCGAGCGTGCGGCTGGATTATAGGTGTCACGACGTTACATATTCAGATGCAATAAAGCATTATTGGCAGATGATAAATGAAACATATAACGTTATTGAGGGCTCATGTATATGTGTCATCGTATGTGGGCTCCTCCTGGGGAATCGCTTCAATATTACCTGTACAGGGATTCTACAGATCCTGGCTGCTTTCATATGGCTTCCAATATATTACATATAGGAGCATATTCATAAAGGGTTCGCCCCCAGGGTATAGCTGGACGAATGCCATTCGCACGGAAGTACTGCCACTAGATGGAGCCAAGGAGCAAAGGAATTTCCTATACTCCCCTCAGTTATGCTCCCTGAGCTGCTTGGGGCTCGTTCACCCCAGCCCCCAGGTATTATGCAATGTATAATGCATGTGCACTTGGCAGTCAATATTTATATATATATTGTGACATCTCAATAAAGCAAAAAACAAAAAAGTAAAATGGGCAATGCGTTGTAACAATGAATCACACTAGTTACTGATTTACTTTTGGGGGTTTGTTACCTTATAGAAATGTCACAAGAAAATGTTTCATTCAATGCTATGCACCAATACATTACCTATAGGGAATAATTAAAAGGATCCCTACATATGGATTCCAAAATATTATGGGGGGGATTTAAAGGGTCCCTACACTACAGATCCTGACAAGTGTCATATCGATATCCTGACAGCTATCATATGGGTTCCACAATATTACCTATTGGGGGGCGGGGGGGGATGTGATTTAAAGAGTCCCTGCAGATCTTGGCAGGTGTCATATGGATTCCAATACAACTGACCCAGTGGTTTTGGGGGTCTGCGGGCATATTTGCATCGGGGTATCCCTATAATTAAGAGGGCACCCAGATGCTGCCGCCCCCCCTTTTGAATGAGTAGGGGTACTTGTACCCCTACTCATTCACTAAAGGGTTAAAGGTCAATGTAAATAAACACACCACACTTTTTGAAAAAATCCTTTTAATTGGAAAAAAAACAGTAAGTTTTTGACAATCCCTTTATTTTTTTTAAAAAATGGCTCCATTGACATAATCCCGCGTCAATCACAATGAACGACGCCCGCCGACTCGCCGAAATAAAAAAGTCCAGCCGCACGTCGACCCGTCCGAACCCAACGAAGACTCGCTCCAAAATGACATCTCCGGCCCGAATGTAAACAAATGGGCGGAGCCAGCCGTGACGTCAGACAAATCGTTCCGGACCTTTTGAGCTGTCATAGAACACAATAGCATTTGGGAGTTCCCAAATACCTTTTGGGTCTGGGAGCCGAGGTGACACCTCGGCCCCCAGACTACGTGAACAGGATGGAGTTAAGAAAAAAAAGATAGCAGGAGGACTGAAATACCGTTTTTAGAGAACGCCATTTGGAACTGCCTACGGTACTGGTCATGTGATCAAAAGCCTAGACATTTAGTCATGTGACATCTGCTAAAGGCTCAGCGCAGATCTTGTGAGCAACTTCCTAGCCTTTTAGTCGTCTGAGCAGCACTGGAGGGAGCCGCAAGCAGCATTTTCTACGGGAAAGTCAAGCACGTCAGCTCTTCTGTTATTTACCCGCGACGCGGTTAACGTTTGAGTTCGGGTCGCTTTAACACAATGGCGCAGCAGGGCAAAATGCATTTCCTAGATTTGTTTTCGGCCACCAGACTCGGCTTTATTTTGAGCGTTCTTTTTCTTGTACCGCGGCCGCGGGTGACTCACTTTGGACGACTTATTTCCCTGCCACTGGCTAACCGGAGACGTGTGGGTTTTAAAGCCTTTAAGTACGGCCTTTAAAGGTAAGGAAAATAAATAAACAGCATGGGAGCCATTACCGGGGGAGAATGGACCTCAGGGGCCACACTTTGATTATCCCTTTCGGTTATTTACCGTGTAAAGGAAAATTTTCACCGTGTGTGACCGTAGGTGCTGTGAGAATTGGTAGTGCGCTAAGGACATAGTCCACTCACAAACTTCTTCTACTTAGGGCTTCCGGCCCACTTTTATTGATAAGTTCACACAAATTTTCCCTCGCAGGGGGTTTTTCCGACATTTTTGACGCAACGTCACTTGTCTCATCGAAATCCCAGATGTCAAAGTCTCACCGACTCCAGGTTGTCACCTTAACAGAACTTCTGCCACGTAGGCTGTATCCCACACACTGGCCACACAGACGGGTTCTCCTCAATGCACCACACAGGTTGGTGCCAAGATGGAGCCCTGCCGAATCCTGGACAGACACCTCCTCTGTCTCCCAGCTGGAACCCTGAGGGATAGTTCACGCCAGCCCCAGTGCGTTTCGGTGCCGGAACGCACAGGATCGCGACCCGGCCGGCTCACTTTGTTTTGGAGAAGGAGGGGGCATGGCCAGAGTCGGAGCTAGACATTCCGCCACCCGGGGCAAAGACTCCGAGTTGCCCCCCCGACCCAAGGAAGAAGTTCTCCATCCAACATCCGCCACAAAACAAAGCAAGCAGGCCGGGATGCGATCCAGTGCGTTCCGGCACCGAATTGGGCCAGAATGAACTGGGGCTGTTGTGAACTAGCCAACTAACTAACTGACTAACTAACTGAGTCCAATGGCAGCCAGGCAATTTGCATTGTCAGAATCAGCCAAGCAATGGCAGCCCTCGTATTTCTCCTCATTACAAGTTTATTTTAATGTCTTCAGTCCTTGAAATGACTTCTCATCCTCCCCTGCAGTCCCCGCCCAGAACTGAGCGTCACACACCGACCATGCGACAAGGTCACTGTGCACTGTAGCCCCGCCCACTCCCTGGCAGCATTCGCCTCTCCAGCTTCGTACGCTCCGCTCTGCGTCCCCCCTCGACGTCATCGCGCCGCCACACGTCTCTTCCGCTTCCTGTGAAAGGTCGCTGTGACCGGTGTTGCAGTCTCGACTCATCTGAGCCGCTTCCGCCGCCATGTTGTCCCTGTCCGCCCGCTCTGGGGCCCTCTTCCCCTACCTGTCCGCTACCCACTACGCCGTGGCCGGGCAGCTGAAGCCTCTGGTGTCTGGGGTGGTCACGCACGGTGAGAAGGTGCTGCTGGACGCGAAGAGACCTTCCTTGTGGGGGCAAAGCGCCGGGGGGGAGATCTACGCTACCGTCAGGATCAGCGGTGGGTATGAGGGACAACTCGAGGTCACCTCAGGCTGTGTGGGGGGTGGGGTAATGTCCAGGTTGGGCTCTACTTGGATGTGGGAGGGGGTTCCAGGCTGGGGTATGGGTATCTTTCAGGGTGTGGGGCAATCTTTCAGTTTGGGGGGGTGTCTGTTCCAGACTGGGGGATATCTTTCTGGGTAAGGTGGGTGAATCTGACGGGCTGAGGCCTATTTTCCATTTTGGGGGGTGGGGATCTTCAAGGCTGAGGTGCATCTTCCCAGATGGGGGAATCTTCCAGGAAGAACTAGGATGTGAGAAGGGCTGGACTGGCACCACTTCCTGTTCCTTTTTATACTCCAGGTGGATAAGTTAGGACCTCTGTCAGCCTGGCATTGCTCTCTGTCACTGCTGGTGGATATGTCCCTTCACTTCCTGTGATCACAACAGGAAGTGAGAGGGGTGACCCCCTTGGACAATTGTCTCCAGAACAGGTGTCCCCTCTATTCCTGTTGTGGTGACAGCTGCAATCATTTGCATGTTCCCCCTCACCTTGGATGGGGTCTAAGAAGCAAACAGAGAGGCAGAATCTCCCTGGGAGGTGGTGGGGGTCCGATGGTGGGGGTTCTGAGCCTGGGAGCCGTTGTACTTTCTCTCGACACTGAACTTTTATTGTAGTTTTTATTACTTGTTTGGTATGTAATGAGTTTATAGATGAGCTCACCTCACATGGGGGTGGGGGGGTCTTCCAGGCTGAAGAATGGGATGAGAAAAGGTCTTATCTGGTTCATACTCTGTCCAGGATGAAAGATGGTTTTGGCGTTGTCTATACGTTGTTTCTCTGCTACATGTAAGTGAAAGCTGCACCTTTAGTCATGACTTTGTTTCTTGCCCTTCGCAGGTCCTTCCTCCGTTCGCTTCTTGCACACTGATGTCACAGTCCCAGAATTCTCAGACTATCGCCGCTCACAAGTTACCGACAGCAAAAAGTCCTCGCAGCCCAGCGGCGAAGCGAGGAAAGGCTTCTCTTACCTGATCACCGGCGCCACCACAGTCGCCACGGCCTACGTGGCAAAGAACGTAGTCTCCCAGTTCGTCTCCAGCATGAGCGCGTCCGCCGACGTCTTGGCCTTGTCGAAGATCGAAGTGAAGCTGTCGGACATCCCGGAAGGCAAAAACATGTGCTTCAAATGGCGGGGCAAGCCTCTGTTCATCCGTCACAGGACGGCCAAGGAGATCGAGCAGGAGGCCGCCGTCGACTTGGGCGAGTTGAGGGACCCGCAGCACGACCTCGACAGGGTGAAGAAACCCGAGTGGGCGATCCTCATCGGGGTCTGCACTCATCTTGGCTGTGTGCCCATTGCCAACGCCGGAGACTTTGGCGGGTACTATTGCCCTTGCCACGGCTCCCATTATGACGCATCTGGCAGGATTAGGAAGGGCCCGGCGCCTCTGAACCTGGAGGTTCCCGACTATGAGTTTCCATCTGAAGACCTTGTAATAGTTGGATAGACTTTTGCTGTTGGCCTTTACGTGTTCCTATCTTCACAACCTTAAATGCTTTTAAAGATCGGTGTTAAATATTTTAATAAGTCATCGCACTCGATATGAAGATCTCTCGTTTCTGCTGTACAGAGTGATCGTAGAGTGTCGGCTGTGACATCCTGTACAAAGAAAACATTAAATTCTGACTTTACAGAGTAACTGCCCCTCCTCCTCGTTTCTTTTTGTTTAGATTCTCATCATTGTGGTACGGAACTATGGGGTACATTTATTAAAGTGGACCTACCATGGCTGGCAAAGGTTTGGCACGGAAGGTCTGCTTTATTCTGTTGCACAGCAAGGCAGTACTACACAGGAGCAGCGAGACAGATTAATATAAGGCAGATTTACCCTAAACACGGGTAGGCAACCTCAGCACTCCAGCTCTATTGAAACTACAAATCCTGTCATGCCTGTGGCCGTTAGACTTGCGGTGCCCCGTGGGACTTGTGGTGCCCCATCGGCTGAGGTTGCGTACCCGAGCTCTGAGGCCAGGAGCAGGATATTTTGGCTCTGCAGCTGTGGTAAAACTACAGATCCCATGAGGCATTGCAAGACGGACAGCCACAGGCATGATGGGATATGTAGCTGAAGTTGCCTTCCACTGATGCAGCCCTTTTCCTCCACATCTGGACTCTCAGACCTTGTTCATACTGGCTTCAACTTGTACAAAAGCAGAGTGTACAGCAAAGCTTTTGGCAGGCTTTGAGCAGCTTTATGAAAGCCTCCAATGAATTCTTCAGCTCCAGTTTGAGACTGTTGAAGACCCCCTGACAACTTTTCTTTAGCCTTGCAGTGGGGTTACCCCTGCACTGCAAGGGTTAAGCGCTTGTTTTGGTGCAAAAATAAGTTCTATTCACCTGAACCTTGCAGGCGGACAGCTGTCGCAGCGCTCCCTCCAGCCTGTCTCCTGTGCTGCAGTGATGTGTCCCTCGGGATCCTCGCATCCCATACTGTATTGGATGTGATGACTTGAGGACCTTAGACGGCTGCAGAGGATGAGGCGACAGGCTGGAAGGACCGATCTTAAGAGCCAGCTGGCCCTGAGGGTCAGGTGAGTAACTAAAAATAAAAAGTTAATTTATTTTGGCACCTAGACCAAAATGAGCACTTAAAGAACTATGGGGTTAAGGCTTTTCCCCATAGTTCTCCTTAGGGTAACACGAGTACACAAACTAGCGTCCTCCTGTCACCCTAGGCTCAGTATATAGGGAGCTGTAGCTCGTGGTATACTGAGACGCTGAAGCAGATCCCAACAATCATGTCTGGATCCGCCCAGCTGCGTGACTGACTGCGAGGCAGAGCCAGCTGTACCCTCCCCCGTCCGTTCTGCCAGTCAGCGCTGGCGGATCGGGGAGGGGAGAATCCAGTCAATGTTAATTAAAGCACTTACCTTAAATTATGTGTTATACCGATCTTCTTTCCTGTCCTTTTTTCATCTGTCCCTCCAGCGCTGACTCCTCTGGGCTTGCTGGCACTTCCTGTCCCACGGTGTCTGCATGCGGGTGCACGCCGTCCATAGACTTACCTTGTGTCTCTCCTCGTCTCCCGGCCGAAAATGTGAACTGCGCATTCGCCCGCCCCAAGATGCTTTGCGGCCGCCCGAGAATTTTCACATTTTCGGACAAGAGCACGCGGGGAAGACACAGGTAAGTATTAGCCTCTTTTAAAGCATTTTTTTTCCCCCCATATATCTACTGCTTGCTAGCATTGGATATATGCACACAAACCGGAGGGTTTAATAACCCTTTAACCCTTGCAGTGAAGGGATAGCCCCACTGCAAGAGCTAATATCTTTAATCTCACATCTTAGTTTGGAGTGCTGACTGTCGCTTTTAAAGAAGCTGCAAATGGTACTGAAGTGACCGTCAGCACGGCCTTTAAGATCTGTGTTCAACATTCACATTCTGGAGTTGATGAACTCTCAAGGCTTCTTGAAAACTTTGCAAAGGTGTGTTATACTCATTGCCTTATAAAAGCTGAGCCCCGTCTGAAAAAAGTCCTTTACAAATCTGGCACCCAGGATTCAGGGGCAGGGGTCACTAATGCACAAGCTGTCTCCTATTTTGCCGAATGAGAGGGTGTCTGGTCCTGGTATATTATAGTTGCCTCTTAAGATAGGATTGCAAGTTGTGGGATTCCTAGAAACCTACTAAAAACTGAAATTCAGTTTTTAAAGCAGGAGAGGACAAAAGAAAATTCTGATCAGGAGCTGTTCTATCCAGTCCTGGAGCCAGCACAATCGTGTGTGTGTGTCTGGCCTCTCCATTGACTACTGGAGGTTCCCCACCCCTGGAGCCAGCACAATCGTGTGTGTGTGTCTGGCCTCTCCATTGACTACTGGAGGTTCCCCACCCCTGGAGCCAGCACAATCGTGTGTGTGTGTCTGGCCTCTCCATTGACTACTGGAGGTTCCCCACCCCTGGAGCCAGCACAATCGTGTGTGTCCTCTCCATTGACTACAACAGGTTCGAGGAACCTTTGTCTCTCCAGCTGTGGTGAAACTACAAATCCCATGAGGCATTGCAAGATTTTCACAGGCATGACTCCTAGAGACAGATGCATCATGGGATTATAGTTTCATCACAGCTGGTGGTTCCCGACCCCTGTTATAAATTCGGGAGTGTCTGTCTTCTGGAATGTCCTCCCCTGTATTAAAGTTGAATGTGAACCCTGACTGGATGACCTTTAGTGTATCGTATACAATTGTCATGAGTTCTCTCTTTTTTTTTCTTTTTAAAAGGTTTCTGGTTCTTTGTTGCTTCTTTGTCCCGCTCATCTTCTGCAGCCACTTTCTGCCTGTGCACTGGCTCCAGAGGCCGCTACGTGTCATTGCTCAGGAACAGTGATCTCTATAAATAAAGCTTTGAGATTCATACCCTTATTCTCATAAATGGCTCCAAGCACGAGGCAGGGCATTGAAGGCCATCAGGAATAGGCACCAGGCAAGGAGAATGGCTGCACTTATGACAATATTAATTTTTTCTTTTGGCAGGGTACAGTATACAGTAAATAACTTGCTACATGGGAAGTATGAAAGGAGATCTATGAGGTGAGCGCTTTTCACTCACCTCATAGTTCTAGCCGACCTGTGACAATGAGACTGTCACAGGTCGGCTCAGTATATCGGGAAGTGAGCGAACACATACCGGCGCTCGCTCACTTCTTGATCCTGCAGAGAGCCGAGACGGGAGGGACTGGATTCCCCCCCCACTCCAATCCTCCAGCGCTGACTGGCGTAACGGGAGGGGGCGGGTGTCACTCACGCAGCTGGGTGGATCCAGATAAAATTGTCGGGTTCCGTTCCGGCTGCGGCGTCTCAGTATACTGTAGCTGTAGCTCGCGGTATACTGAGCCTAGGGTGATGGGAGGACGCTAGTTTGTGTCCTCCCGTTACCCTGAGGAGAACTATGGGGAAAAGCCTTAACCCCATAATTCTCCTTTAACTCACAACACAAAAACTTTGAGGTAGGACAGATGAGGGTCTGTATTTCAAAGCTTCATTTCTAGATCTCACTGGTTCTGTGCAGGGAGGCATTTGTCCCCCCCCTCCCCTGGACGACTCCTTAAAAGTAATGTTATGTGGGTGGCCCTCAATGGTGATTCTTCAGCAGTCAGAGCAGGATCCCGAATCTGTGACCCATTATGAGCATGAAACATATACCAATAAATCTGGATGTTGCTTCAATACAAGTGAGCGCCTCTTCCACTGGGGCAACATCACAGCACCCGACAGAGCGACGTCTTCCAGTAATCCTTTTGCAGCTGTGACTGAACGAGTCAAATAGACTGATGCTAGAAGAGGAGACTCTGTACCTATCATGAAAGGGCCTCTCGGTACTGCATGCCTTCCATGCTAAAGTTTCCCAGTCCTCCCTTGGTTCTGTGTGCTCGGAATCGGTGGGCTGCCACAACGGCACCATGAAATATTGATATTCCAGTTAAACTACTTGGCGAGCTTCTGACCTGGGACAGCTATACGGATCAGAAATTTATCATTTGCTACTTGGATGGTTATTCCAACTCAGTGGCTCACTATTTAAGCTATAGGGAGCCAGGAAGCTCCATTCAATCAGGAGGACAGCAAGACACGTTGAATAAAGTTTTCCTTGTATTAACAATGTTTTCTATGAAAAGTAAGTCATTGAAAAGACAAGGGGCGGAGCATTACATTAACAATGCTTTACCATTGACAGCAATTGAATTAAAACAGGTTCGGATTGTGCATATAAACTAGGGATGCACCAATACCGGTATTTTAGTACCGATAATTTTTTTCGGTACTCGCCGATGCCAATTATCGAGTAACGGAAGTCCCATTCAGGAAGCCAGGTGGCGTGTAAAGACTCGCCACCCGGCTTCCCGATTAACTAGAAACTCTGTCCCCTATTACCTTGGTATGTCCAGCCTGTCACCCCCGGGGCCTCTGCAGCCAGGAAGGTCTTCCTCCGGTACCCAGCCGTCTGGCCGGCCAATCAGGCGGCGTGTAATGACGCGCTGCCCGCCTTCCTGATTGGCCGGGAGGCCGGCTCCATGCTCCCTCGTCATGAGATGACGAGGGAGCTTGAAGCCAGCTTCCCGGCCAATCAGAATGCCGGGCGCTACGTCATTACACGGCGCTCGGCTTCCTGATGGGCCGTGAAGCCGGCTTTATGCTCTCTCGTCACAAGTGACGAGAGAGCATGGAACCGATTCCCGGCCCATCAGGAAACCGCGCAGCGTGTAATGACGCGCTGCCAGGCTTCCTGATACAGGAAGTATAGGCTAGGCATCGGAGCATTTGGGCAAGTACGAGTACTCGCCCAAATACTCGATATCGGCACCAATATCGATTCTAGTATGCATAATATAAACCAAAGTAATATGAGAATAAAAGCTCCTGTGTGCCTTGCTGTCCCAAATCCCATTGATGTTATGCGGCATGGCTGGCAGCGAACAGTTTAATTATCCACAGTGCAGTTGGAAATCGATGCGGTGTTCTGCAGTTGTCGGTTCGGTGTCCTTGCCCAGCTTTCGGCTCAGTCAGAGGGCAAAGCTAAACGGGTACTATAGCTGCGTACACTGCCATGACCATTCTCTACCCTGTCCAACCAACGCCGGACCTGATAAAGATCCAGCTGGATGACCAGGGGCTAATTTGTGTGCCTGTAATTGGAAA